TATAGCTACATAACACACAGAATCTAGTGCCTGTGTTGTGTATATCTCCATATAACACAGTATCCAGTGCCTTTGTTGTGTATAGCTACATAACACAAAGTATCCAGTGCCTGTGTTGTGTCTAGCTACATAACACACAGTATCCAGTGCCTGTGTTGTGTAAAAAAGAGAATTTAATGTCGGTACTAAATTGCCTGTTTTTTTCATCAAATATAATGCTTGGAAAAAGAGCCAAAAACATTTTTAGGCTAAAAGTAGCTTATCTAATGTTACTTTACATCTCTTTCTAAGGACAAATCTGATCCTGTTTTTATAACTCAATAATTTATATTACTTTCTGAGGGTTATACCTGCTGTAAGCTAGCTAGGTTCCATCTACTGTTAGCTAGCTAAGAGTAGCCTCTTATCAAAGAGATATCTTAGTAGATGTCAGGATGGACAAGTACAGGTAAGAAATACATGTTTCTCACAATGAACTCCTTCCAACTAACTCGCCTGACAACTGTTTCTAACAATATTGATAAGTTGTCTACTTCCCTGACAAGTCCTGTCGGCAACATTGACAATTTCAATTACTAACATCAAGCACTGAGCTGTCCTCTGACTAACACTGGCAATGAAATGCTAAGCAACTGCAAGGTGATATTTGCGGATACCGTGACAATCAAATGAGTGGATGTTTATGTACAATATACAATGATATTGTGAATCTGGCTAGTGTCCTATAGGAGACGGCAGCAGGACACACAGTAGGTGAACAACGGACTAGACACACAGTAGGTGAACAACGGACTAGACACAACACACATTGATAATTACCACCCAGAGGTAGTGTATCTACCAGGGAAAAGCTAGTGAGACCCCAGAACAGCATGCACTTATGTGTATTTAATACATTTATTTTTTAATGAAAAATGACCCATAGCACTTGTTCGAAATTGGTTACACCTGAAGAGATAATAAAGGTCACCTCTCTCTCTGGTAGTTGCTGCTGATAAGATCTGGCATGTATGGTGAACTTCTGGATGGAAATTATCTTACAGGAAGTCAGTACTCTATGTATTAAACAAAAATGAACTTAAACATTATTATCTGTACTTAGTACACTGCTACAGTACATGTATGTAATATAGAATGGCGGTGGAGCATGTCAAAAGACAGAAAACAAAGTACCGGTGGTACATACAAACATGGGACTCGAAATATCAGGTATGACCTGTGAATCGTCCAAACAAGTTATTTATGTATAAAGAAAACATTAAAAAAATTGTCAAAAATCTACTTTTAAAAAAAGAGTAAGAAAGGCATTAAATCTGTAAAATCAAGTTTGATAGTATATAAACATTTTACCTAGTTTAAAACTTAACAATAGACAATGATAAAATAAAACTGCAAATGCACATATATAGATATACATTAAAAATGCATGTCAAAAAGTTGATGAAAACCTAGTTCAAATACAAGTCTACACAGTGTGGAATGGAGAAACTAAATCACACACATAAAACTATTTGAAATTACATCATTTGTTTTATTCCAACTACACTCACTCCTCATCAAACCCAATAGATCATGCCAGTGTCTGATCTAGAACAATCCATTGTGACGTTAAAGGGTTAAAAGGTGCACTCTCTTCACTGTAATACAAGTGCCCTGATCTACCAACTATTGCTCCGCTGTGACTTTTCAGTATTGTACGGGGCACTTGTCACATGTGGGACTCGCACACAGTTCCTCTGTGACTTACTGTAGGGAGGCCCTGTCATGTGTGACTCACATATCGCTCCTCTGAGCTACCATTGGGGGGCACCTGTCACACATTCAGCACAGACCACTCTTCTGTGACTGACAGTAAGGGACACCTGTCAAACATCCAGCACAGACCACCCTTCTGTGACTGACAGTAAGCGACACCTGTCACACATCCAGCACAGCCCACCCTTCTGTGACTGACAGTAAGCGACACCTGTCACACATCCAGCACAGAAAACCCTTCTGTGACTGACAGTAAGCGACACCTGTCACACATCCAGCACAGACCACCCTTCTGTGACTGACAGTAAGGGACACCTGTTGCATGTGCATCACACAAAACGCTCCTCTGTGACATAATGTAAGGTGCATCTGTCACACATGTGACCAACAAGCTGCTCAAGCTGTGTGACCTACTCTAAGGAGACCATGGGGGCACCTGTTACATGTGCAGTACAAACCACTCTTCTGTGACTATCTGTAGGGGGCAACCCTAACACACCATAATATCAACAAAATAATTTGTAACTATACATTGTGTATTTCATTAATATTAATATTTAGAGTATAAATCATTTTCTCTCCTTGGTCCTAGAAACAGATTTTGAAGAAAGGCAAACAGTGAGTTAAAGGTATTTTTTATCTGTTTATCATTCTTTATCCCAGTTGTTTTGAAGTTTCCTACATCAATGATGAGTATATCTAAAAAAACAAAACTTCTGAGATTTGTGCTGATAAAGTGAGAATTTGTACTTGACTAATAAGACGTTTACTACATGTGTAGGTGAGTGGATGGCCTATAAAGGTTGGACACAGGGGTATAAAAAGGTCTCCACCTGATAACTGTGATGTTGTAGTCCCTCGAAATCAGCAGTGATCATTGTATACAAACAACTGAGCTGTTTATCACCCACAGACACACTCATATAAACACAGACATGGGTATCACATGCTGGAAATGGATATCAAACAGGTCAGACAGATATCAGATACAGATATCAGACAGGTCAGACAGATATCAGACATTAAGATACCAGTGTCAGACACATTATACAGGTTACAGGATATTTACTTCATACTCTGTATCTCTATACTTACACACTAAATGCCACTCATGTGGTCTGAAGACCCCATATATGGTTCCGTATGTGGCTCATTGCCAATCAAGTGGCCTGCAGGAAGGAAGCATCACATGCCATCTGCAGTCTATTTGAATTAACTTTCTTTATCTATATGAATCTTGAAGCTATCCATTTCTTATACAATTTTTTTGTCCCCAATGATCTCCCTATGATTGTATTTCCACCTCATCTAGGTTTCATAGTACAAGTGTTCACTTTTAAGGTCAAAACCAAATTATGTTAAAACAAAACTTGAACCTAACAGCAAAAAATGCCTATGACACACTCTGATATCCCCATGTTATACCCAGGGAAAACTTACGTATCACAAGGGTATCCCTAGGTTACAAAACACTGTTGTAACCCTACGCAACACTGTGGTATCCTTATTATACACCCCGGGAAACCTTACGTATCACAAGGGTATCTCTACGTAACACAGGGGTATCCCTATGTATCATTGGGGAATTCCTACGTAACACAGGGGTATCTCTATGTATCATTGGGGAATCCCTACGTAACACAGGGGTATCCCTATGTATCATTGGGGAATTCCTACGTAACACAGGGGTATCCCTATGTATCATTGGGGAATTCCTACGTAACACAGGGGTATCCCTATGTATCATTGGGGAATTCCTACGTAACACAGGGGTATCCCTATGTATCATTGGGGAATTCCTACGTAACACAGGGGTATCCCTATGTATCATTGGGGAATTCCTACGTAACACAGGGGTATCCCTATGTATCATTGGGGAATTCCTACGTAACACAGGGGTATCCCTATGTATCATTGGGGAATTCCTACGTAACACAGGGGTATCCCTATGTATCATTGGGGAATTCCTACGTAACACAGGGGTATCCCTATGTATCATTGGGGAATTCCTACGTAACACAGGGGTATCCCTATGTATCATTGGGGAATTCCTACGTAACACAGGGGTATCCCTATGTATCATTGGGGAATTCCTACGTAACACAGGGGTATCCCTATGTATCATTGGGGAATTCCTACGTAACACAGGGGTATCCCTATGTATCATTGGGGAATCCCTACGTAACACAGGGGTATCCCTATGTATCATTGGGGAATTCCTACGTAACACAGGGGTATCCCTATGTATCGTTGGGGAATCCCTACGTAACACAGGGGTATCTCTATGTATCATTGGGGAATCCCTACGTAACACAGGGGTATCCCTACGTAACACAGGGGTATCCCTATGTATCATTGGGGAATCCCTACGTAACACAGGGGTATCCCTATGTATCATTGGGGAATTCCTACGTAACACAGGGGTATCCCTATGTATCATTGGGGAATCCCTACGTAACACAGGGGTATCCCTATGTATCATTGGGGAATTCCTACGTAACACAGGGGTATCCCTATGTATCATTGGGGAATTCCTACGTAACACAGGGGTATCCCTATGTATCATTGGGGAATTCCTACGTAACACAGGGGTATCCCTATGTATCATTGGGGAATTCCTACGTAACACAGGGGTATCCCTATGTATCATTGGGGAATTCCTACGTAACACAGGGGTATCCCTATGTATCATTGGGGAATTCCTACGTAACACAGGGGTATCCCTATGTATCATTGGGGAATTCCTACGTAACACAGGGGTATCCCTATGTATCATTGGGGAATTCCTACGTAACACAGGGGTATCCCTATGTATCATTGGGGAATTCCTACGTAACACAGGGGTATCCCTATGTATCATTGGGGAATTCCTACGTAACACAGGGGTATCCCTATGTATCATTGGGGAATTCCTACGTAACACAGGGGTATCCCTATGTATCATTGGGGAATTCCTACGTAACACAGGGGTATCCCTATGTATCATTGGGGAATCCCTACGTAACACAGGGGTATCCCTATGTATCATTGGGGAATTCCTACGTAACACAGGGGTATCCCTATGTATCGTTGGGGAATCCCTACGTAACACAGGGGTATCTCTATGTATCATTGGGGAATCCCTACGTAACACAGGGGTATCTCTATGTATCATTGGGGAATCCCTACGTAACACAGGGGTATCCCTATGTATCGTTGGGGAATTCCTACGTAACACAGGGGTATCCCTATGTATCGTTGGGGAATTCCTACGTAACACAGGGGTATCCCTATGTATCATTGGGGAATTCCTACGTAACACAGGGGTATCCCTATGTATCACGGAATATCCCTACGTAACACTGTGGTAACCCTACGTAACACTGGGGTATCCACATGTACCACTAGGGTATCCCTAGGTTACAGAACACTGTGGTATCCCTCTGTTGACAAGTGATTTATCCTTTCATGACCAGCATCACTTTGTATGACAGAAAAAGTAAGAAATCCAGGTTAGTAAAATGCACATAGAATCTGGTTGACAGTGACTGAGATAATGTGTTCAAACACACTGATTGTGTATTTTGCATATAACCAAGTATTTTTTCTTTCTGTTCTATCAGAATTTGTAAAAACTTTGTATATTTTGAGTTTTAAAAGGTAGGTAATTTCATAGAAACATTTTTGATTTCTGTCCTTTAATGACTGGGGAAAATCTTAAGTTCTGCTTATGATATCTACAAAGTTTTTCTTTGTTGTTATTAAATTAATAGTTTTCTTTGATATTTTTATAAGACAACAAAATATCTCTGTAAGGTATTATCTTTTACCCAGAGATTTAAGACAAAATATTGCATACCTCGATATTTATATGCAATTAAGTTACTTAAGTACCTAGACATATAACATTGGTATTTTGAATTAAATTACATCTAGGGTTTGTAATAATTGTATAGAAAAATAGTGTTGGATCAATGAGACAGATGTTCAGCCGAGGTTGGACGTGGAGAAAAGTACAGAGTCTGGGCTATCCAAGTCAGCAAATTTACAATGCACATGCATGTCACGTCCGTTCACAATGACCAGTGATGACTTGGAGGGTGTGGCGAGGTAGTTGCTAAACACATTCCCGTGTGATATGGAGCGTGTTGCCTGTGACCATGGCCATACCCGGACAGTTCTGGGATCCTCAGCATCTGTTGGAGAACATGAGGAAATGTCAGATAACAGTAACATTAGCAGTAAGAATTATAATTTTCACTATTCAGAAGAAATCACACTCTAACTGCGGTGACAAGTATCTATGTTGTTATGTTTAGGTGCTTTATCTTACTGCGGTGACAAGTATCTATGTTGTTATGTTTAGGTACTTTATCTTACTGCAGTGACAGGTATCTATGTTGTTATGTTAAGGTGCTTTATCTTACTGCAGTGACAGGTATCTATGTTGTTATGTTTAGGTGCTTTATCTTACTGCGGTGACAAGTATCTATGTTGTTATGTTTAGGTGCTTTATCTTACTGTGGTGACAAGTATCTATGTTGTTATGTTAAGGTGCTTTATCTTACTGTGGTGACAAGTATCTATGTTGTTATGTTAAGGTGCTTTATCTTACTGTGGTGACAAGTATCTATGTTGTTATGTTAAGGTGCTTTATCTTACTGTGGTGACAAGTATCTATGTTGTTATGTTAAGGTGCTTTATCTTACTGTGGTGACAAGTATCTATGTTGTTATGTTAAGGTGCTTTATCTTACTGTGGTGACAAGTATCTATGTTGTTATGTTAAGGTGCTTTATCTTACTGTGGTGACAAGTATCTATGTTGTTATGTTAAGGTGCTTTATCTTACTGTGGTGACAAGTATCTATGTTGTTATGTTAAGGTGCTTTATCTTACTGTGGTGACAAGTATCTATGTTGTTATGTTAAGGTGCTTTATCTTACTGTGGTGACAAGTATCTATGTTGTTATGTTAAGGTGCTTTATCTTACTGTGGTGACAAGTATCTATGTTGTTATGTTTAGGTGCTTTATCTTACTGTGGTGACAAGTATCTATGTTGTTATGTTAAGGTGCTTTATCTTACTGTGGTGACAAGTATCTATGTTGTTATGTTAAGGTGCTTTATCTTACTGTGGTGACAAGTATCTATGTTGTTATGTTAAGGTGCTTTATCTTACTGTGGTGACAAGTATCTATGTTGTTATGTTAAGGTGCTTTATCTTACTGTGGTGACAAGTATCTATGTTGTTATGTTAAGGTGCTTTATCTTACTGTGGTGACAAGTATCTATGTTGTTATGTTAAGGTGCTTTATCTTACTGTGGTGACAAGTATCTATGTTGTTATGTTAAGGTGCTTTATCTTACTGTGGTGACAAGTATCTATGTTGTTATGTTAAGGTGCTTTATCTTACTGTGGTGACAAGTATCTATGTTGTTATGTTAAGGTGCTTTATCTTACTGTGGTGACAAGTATCTATGTTGTTATGTTAAGGTGCTTTATCTTACCGTGGTGACAAGTATCTATTTTGCTATGTTTAGGTACTTTATCTTACTGTGGTGACAAGTATCTATGTTGTTATGTTAAGGTGCTTTATCTTACCGTGGTGACAAGTATCTATTTTGCTATGTTTAGGTACTTTATCTTACTGTGGTGACAAGTATCTATGTTGTTAAGTTTAGGTACTTTATCTTACTGCAGTGACAAGTATCTATGTTGTTATGTTTAGGTACTTTATCTTACTGTGGTGACAAGTATCTATGTTGTTATGTTTAGGTACTTTATCTTACTGCGGTGACAAGTTTACCTTTGATTGTTGTGACTTTTCCATTCACCAGGTTTACATGGAAGACTACAGCATGGTCCTGTGAGGTCAGGTAGAGGTCGTATCCCGTGCTGACCTGAGAGGGGAAGAATGTGACATCACTGATAGAGGAAGCCACACTCACATCAATACCCTTCTTGATCTGACCTACAATAGAGAAAACCAGCCAAGGCTGTCATCACACATCATAATGAAATATCATTAGTGGCAATGTCACTAGAGGATCATGGCCTTCACAGTCACACCAATCGTAATAAATCACTTCTTACATTTACAGCAAAGATGTCTTTTAAACTTAGTGTTAGAAGATAAAATGATGTTGGTGAGTGAACAACTTACATAATATATATAGCTGGTAATTATCAGAAAACAGACTTTATATACCTTCTCCAATCTCAAGAACAGAAGTAAAATTATATACTGTTCAACTGCCATCACATGATTATAATTCTAACCAAGTTTGAATTAATTGCCACAAAAAATAAACAAAATATAACCGAAAAGTATCCCCACTTTGTTTGCAACTATATAAACTATAGCAAACTTAACCCTCTCAAAAGATGAAAGGGTGACCTGGGAGATAGGGTATTGAAATTCACACTTTGTTTAACAGGTCCTTAGGACCTCTTTACCAAGAGTATTTGGTTCGAACTTATCTGGGTTTGAATAAGAAGATTGTTGAAATTTTAGCAGATTTGACCCCATTTAATTTACCCCCCTCCCCCTACAAACCCCTAGGGGTGAAATCCATATAATGAACATGTTTTGTTTGTCTTTGACCACAAAACTTCATGCTTTACTTGTTTAAGTTTCCAGTTTATTGAAATTGGTTCAATGTTTTTTGGATCAATTTGACATGTGAGGCATGAGGGACAACAACAGACAAATAGCAATAACAATAGGTCATACACATGTATCAAGTTAGTCAACCTAAAACTTAGTTTGGTGTGGATGCCAACATATTTAAGAGGGATCTTTACAAAATTCTAAGCTATTCAACTTGAGGCGACAACGCAAAAAGCTACCTACCATCTTCCTGAATGGTGGCCACCCTGACCTTGCCAGTGACTTCATCCACAGTTACAATGGTGCGGGAGTCAGGTGACACATAGGGAGTACCAAACATGGTGATGTTGGCCAGAGGTGCGTCAGTGACGTAGTCCATCAGGATCTGGAGCGTACGTGTGTCATCCATCATCTTCTTGATACACTTCACCACAACATGGCCACCTAAAGTCACACATCGCAATATACAATGTAGCTATGGAAGT